AAGTTGCTTAAAGTTACTCTTATGATGAATCATAAGATAGCAAGATTAAAAGCTGTAAAAAATAAATGCAAAAATTAAGCTAAAATTTAATGCAGCACTTGCACTTAGTTTTGATGCAGGAAATTCAAATTAAAGATTTGAAATGGGTAAGCCAAAAGATTGCGGACCATCTGCAACATGGGAGAAAAATGTGAAGATGATATTCTGTGATTTATGTCTAAGGGAGATTGAACTTGACAATCAACCAACCACACACTTCAATAAACAGGGTTGGACGAATTTAATTAAATATTTTTATGAGAAAACTGGAAGAGAGTATGATAAAGTTCAGTTAAAAAAAATGGGATCAATTAAAAAATGATTGGAAATTATGGAAAGAATTGAAGTGTGAATCCACTGGACTGGGTTGGGATCCTAGGAAAAAAAATCATTGACACACCTGATGAATGGTGGAAAGAGAAATTAGAGGTAAATATTAATTTACATATATTTGTCTCTTCCAACCTTCATATTATACTTCTTTTCTTATTTAAAATGAAATTTATTTTTGTAGGTTATACCAAATGCAAAAAAAATTAGATATTATAGCATTGATCCCGAACTTGAATATAAGCTTGATATAATATTCCTAGGTGTTGTTGCTACTGGAGATTATGCTTGAACTCCAAACCAAAGACTTCATAATGAAAATGTTACTGCAGATTCTGAAAACATTGATATAAGTAATGATTCTTTTGAAGATCCTTCACAAAATCTTGAGAGCATTAGTGATTATAACCAATTGAAACGACCATCATCTACAACTTCAACCGGTAAAAGGAAAAGAATATTTGGTTCTACATTTCTTCGAAGTCAAATTACACAGCTTGTCAATTCTTGTACCAACATTACCTTAGAAACTAATGCATCAAAGTCAATAATAAACAAATCCTCCATTTCTGCTATTATTAAAGTTCTTGAACAAACAACTGAAGTATCTGAAGACATGCAACTATATTTGTTCTCCACCAAGCTTCTCGAGGATTCAACGAAGCAAGAAATTTTTATGTCTATTAGCCCTGAACGATGAGCTCTTTATCTTTGTTATTGCTATGAAAATCATGACACAACATTATCATAGTTTCATACAGTCTAAGAATCAATGACTTTGTATTTTCTTTATTGATCTTTGATATTAGATTGTGATTTTCTTCATTCTATTTGGATCTTGAATGTATTTGTCTTTGCTGTCTTTTTCTATTAAATTGAACCTTATAAGTAATTAATGGATTTTCCCTTTGGATAATATCAACTTAATTTTGTTTTAATGATTATTGATCTTGATGCCCACCAAGGGAATGGACATGAAACAGATTTCAGTTATTCACGCATGTTTTCATTTGCTTGAAGCATGCTTGCTGTTAAAACTATCGTTCTCAGAAATATTTTACATAATGGACATGTATAATTCTCAAATATATCCTTTAGTAAGTTTTCTCTTGCAACTGAAGATTGAAGAACCGGCATGATTGATGAACTTCACATGTCCTTGTTTTATCCATCTTATATTTAGCCAAATAGTAGATCAGTATGGATTTGTTGGAGTAGGTGTAAAAATAACATGCTCTAAGTTGTGGGCTCCGAAAATTCGGCCCCGGCCTCCGCTCGCTTTTCTTATTCGGCGAGGGAGTTTTAACGAACTAAGTTCCGGGGTAAATTTTGGAAGGCAGATGGGTTTGTAGATAAGACACTACCCAGAGATTTCGCCCTCATTTTGCGAGGACTTTATGATCTGAGTTCTGGTTTCCTATAGGCGCAAGCCCCTATAGTTAATTACCCCTCCCGATAACAAGAGAGAACTTTCGATTAAGGCTAGTCATCAATCAGATACGTAGAGATACGTGTTATCTGGCATATAATAGCAGCAATAGGTTTGGAATTTGGAGAACTGGATTATTGAAAGATTTGGAGATTTAGAAATTGATATTTAAAAATAGAAATTTCACCATCGTGCACTTAAAGCGGATGGTGGGGGAATGAATGATGGGCCCGATCAAGATCCCATGGTTCCGTCATCCCGGGCCATCGTGGTCCCTGGTCTACTTAGTCAGAGGAGGTAGTCGACCCAACCTGACAGAAGGATCCTTGTCGGCAGCCATGGGTTGCTTCGTCCAAGGGAACCTTGTAGACCGGGGTTGATGTTTGTCTAAGGGGACAAATTTAAATCCACCTTAGCTAACAGAGGGCTTTGTGCCCTATCAATCATATCCTATTGATTCATATCTCAAGGATTTAACGCCATTAAGGAGCGTATTGGCTCTGGCCATAACCGCTATCTGTCGTAGGCCTTGAAGGCCTAATATGAATGTATTAAGACAAATATGACGGTCGTCACAATCGTATATTTGTTTGTTGGTTCGAACCCTGTCGACTTCT